TCAGGGGCTGATGCTGCTGTGCTGTCAATGTCACTTCAATGATTAAAACTTCAACACAAATAAAAACGGGCAAACGGATAGCGCGCGGACAGGACCAAGCCGAACTGAACCGAACCGAACCGACCCCAAAGCACAGTCCAATCATCCACCGACGCACAGCCACCCATACCACCCATCTTTGCCATTCCAACCCATGATTCGGTTTCTCCTTTCTTTTTTTTTAATGAAAACATAAACATCTCTTTTACCCCGAAGTACCTTCTGCAATTTACTCTACGCGCTCTTCCTTGTTCTCCTGCTGCCTGCCGCCTTTGTTTTCTTTCTGCTGTGGTTCGTAATAAATTTTTAATTTTGCTTAATTGAAAATGGCCCCGCCTTTAGCAGCGAATCAGTGAGAATGAGGAAAAAGAATAATTGAAAATAAGGAAAATATCGGGACTACTTATTGGAAAGTAAATTTAACAACTGGATTTCCATATTCCCCCTAGAAAAGGGAATCATGGCATAAGTTCTGGCTGCTGGAAACCTCTCATTGTCTGGTGCTTGGACGCACGTGCTCCGAGGGATTAGTGCAGAACCACTGAGACACGTTCAAATGTCTCTCTCCGCGTCAGCTCAGCTCTAGAGTGTGTGTGACTGTGTGTGGTTATGAGTGTGCCACTCAAGAGTGGCGGGGGCAAGGTGCTAAAAGCTGTTCACATATTTATGTAGCTGACTGTACCATATATGGGCAAACATTTAAACAAACAACAGCAGCAGACACTCTGCTTAGAGGAGGGGAAGACTCTATGGGGGGAAAGAGCCACTGTACGGGTGCTAAAAATGGGTCACATTCTTGTCTCGTGCACGTTGCCCCATGAGTGGCGTTCATTTTGTGGCGCCAAGGCGTTGCAACTTGCACTGAGAGAAAGGAAAGGTTCTGGATAGAACAGGTTGTAGCAGAGATAAGAAAATCCACAGGAAATCCTCTCTATCTGGAATGACACTAGATCTTAACGCTCATGGGAAACTATATCATAAACTGCTATCTCTTAAGAACTCTCTGTCTTAAATGATACAAGTTCTTTCTACCCATTGCATGTTTTTTGCTTTTCTCTAAGTGCCTGCGTCCGGCACACAAAAGTAGCTCTCTCTCTCTAGGGGCCCTCAACAGAGGGACTTCTCCCTCTGCATTTGCCCTCTCCCGTTGCAGGCTCGTTAACACTTTTCCCAGCAGCAGAAGCAGCTTATTTATTGCATATCAAGTGACGCCTCAATCCCAGGGCAGTCCATGCAACACCACCAGCAAAAGAGGGGGAAGGGGTGCTGGGCTGGTGGCCAACTGTCCAATGTGTCTGTCCGTCTCCATTCTCCATCGTTTCTGCCAGGCCAAATGATGTCGTCAACGTCGCTTCAGAAATGTTTTGGCATAAATTAAACAAGGCCGCCGCACTTTCGACTCCATTCCTCGGGCCTGGTTCCCGGGCATTGTCCAGATGGTGGTGCAGAAGGAGAGAAGGTGGGGTTCTCCCACTGGGGACTGTGCCGTTCCCTTTCCTCTTCTTCCGCTGTTTGCATTGCATTTTGTCACACGTGGGGAGCTCAAAAGCGACGCCAATTTGTCTGAAATGTTTTGAATTCTAAGCGATGTTCAAGAGGAGAACAGGACGATGACAGGAAGAGGCAACTACAGGAGGAGGATTATGTACCAGAATGTGGGACGGGACTGGCTGATGATGGCCAGATCTTGATGGGGCATACGGATGTGTTGCTGGCGTTGAATGCGGGATGTTGTGTGCCCTTTGTGTCGTCTGCCATATTTACCTAGTGGAGCGTACTCTTGGCTGAATGTGTGGCAGCTTGCAGGCACCCTGAAGAGTCCCCGGGCTATTTGGCCAGCTCTTGCAACTCCCTCCATTGCTCTGATGTTTGATTTTTCCATTTCGTACTTCCACTACCGTCACTCTTTCCCCATGGCGAGAGTCAATCAATCCATGCCTCCAGTGCTACTCCCACTCCCACTCCCACTCCCACTCCCAGTCCCTCTTCCGTGTGAATTATGTGGCGATAAAGTTGGTGCAGAATGGTGTGTGCAGGCTGGTGCACGGTGCAACTTGTTACCCATATTGTGTGGCAGCCGCATCAGCAGCCTGAAAGCGAAACACCTGCTGCAGATGCCACCAAATCCACCCAAAGCCAGGGCCACGGCCAAGCGGCCGGCTGGTCTCTTCCCTCACAAACGCTGATCTTATCGTCGCTGCACTGCACACACCCAAAACGAAAGAGTTCGGCCCCAAAAAAAAAAGAGAACAAAAATTGAGCGGTGGAGGGGGCATTGAAGAACTGCACTGCGCTCCCTCACTCCCTCTCTATTTCGTTTGCTGCTGTGCTACACCAACATCAATGGCCCGCGCTTATCTGTTCGCTGACTTTGGGAATGCTGATGATGATGATGATGATGATTCTGCTCTCCCTGACCATCACAACGATTATGCTGCTCTCATGCGCTCTCTGACCAATGCGCAAGGTCGTAGTAAGTAAGGTGAGGTCAGTTGCCTTTCGTTCCTATTGCTCAAACTAAAGTGTCGAGTTTCTTCAGCGAATTGCTCGCCTTATTTAAATACACCTTGCACGTGAGAATGATGATAATGATGTTGTGCTCCTCGCGCTGCTTTGGCCTTGGGCATTATTGTGGCTGTCTCGCTCGCATTCCCTCCCTCCATCTGCACTGTCTTCACGCTCTCTCTCTCTCTCTCGTTCTTTTGGTGTTTCTGTTTTTGTCGCGGATTCGTTGCCATTGCTTGTTTTATTTTATTCTTCGCTTTTGCTTTGGCCTCTGCTCCTGTTACTCCTGCCTCTTGCCACTCTGCTTTTCTCTGAGACTGGCAATGGGACTCGGCCAAGTCAAGGGCCGCTGCTCGCCTCATTGTCTGGCCACGATGCGGCTGCCCGAGAAGCCGGTAGATGTTGGCCCCGCTAATTTCACCTTTTCACAGATCTCCCTGCCTCTCCGTACTCTCCACCTCTAACATCAGGATGCTCCTTTTGCAACGTTTCGAGTGGAGTTTGTGTGTGGGTTGCAGCTCAGGCGCATTCCTGTGCCATAGTTTCAACGTCTTTTAGTTATTGAGAATTTATTTTCAAGGGATAGTTCCCCACATAGTTAAGTTTGAGTTGAAGTAATATTTGATATCACAAAATATTCTTCTGATTTTAGGTATAAGAAACTCTCAGAACCCCCAACACCCCATACCTGTCCACAGTGTATCCCAAAGTCGATTCTTCTCAGTTTACTTCTTCACTTTTGCTGCTGTCTTGACTTGTGGGAGGCTCATGAAAAATTGAGCAAGTGCCGCACTTGCAATTTCAACAGCTCATCTGCCGCAGCGCCAAACAATTTCTTGCCTCAAACTTCAGTTTTCAGCCTCAGTCGCAGACTCTCAGCTTCATCTTCAGCTTTGGCAGTGGACTGCTGACAGGCCTCGGAAATGTGAAATCCTTGCTCTCTGAATGGGTTCTGGGCTTTTGGCCTCTTGGTAATTTCCAGTCTTTGAATCTTTCAACTGGGGAGTGCTTAAATTGTAGTTTTATTTTGCACCAGCACAAACCAAAAAAAAAAAGAAAACACAAAACAAATTTTCCATTGCGGTTGGAAAAACAACAAAATAATTGCCCCTTGATTGTATTTTCGGGTGTGAATTATGCATGGATGAAAAATCGCAAGCGAAACTGATTTTACAGGCGGAAACTTGTTCGGAAGAAAAAACCATGTGAATCTGAAAGTTAATTGTTGAACTGAACAAAGAGAGGAGCTCTCCACTTCCACAGGTGGCACTCAGCTCTCGATCGCTCCAATTATAGCAGACTTTTAATCCAACCTATTATTGACATCTCTCATGGGGAGATTCCTTCAGCCTTTGCTCTGCTTCCATAATCGATTCAAACATTTGGAGTTCTGTCAATGACAAAATCATTCTCCCTTCCTTCCTTCCTGCGTCACATGGTAGTCCTCCAAAAATACGAATTCAATTACGTAGCCCAGCAGGAGGCATCAACATCCATCCATCTACATCTCTGTGCATGAAGAGAAATACCTCTTCTGTGTCATGTCAATGACCAGGTTCTCAGAGCTCATCGCTCACTAACCTGGCGACCTGTCAGCAGAGACAGGAACAGGGACAGAACCAGGAACAGAGCCATCGACAACAGGGAGGAAAATGGGGCACAAAGACAAAGTTCCAAAGATAAAGCTCTCGCTCCGGCATGAATATGCAGCTGATGTGCACTTGCCGTTCCTTTCCCTCCCATCCAGCTGTTCCATCCTTTGGCTTAGTCTCTGTGCTATGCTATGGGTGCGTTTGCCTTAAGCTCCTGCTGCTCACATTCCTCACAGACGACAGTCTTTTGCACTTGCCCGTGTAGTTTGAATGCTCTAAAAGCTGCAGGGTATTATGCGTTTGAGAAGAAGTTTGTGAGAGAAGAAACTACATTTAAAGCTACTTCCTAAACGTCAGCGAAAACTACTTCTGAATCATGTACGAAAGAGCCGGCAAAATATGGTAGAACGAAGAATAAATCTAATCAGTTTATAGTCTCCCAAGAATCTGCATATTTCGGATTGAATTTCCCTATTTCCGAGTGTATTTTGTTCCTTTAGAGTATCTACGCCTTCGTCACTCCCATCCTTGATAGTTACTTCCGTTCTTGCTGTTGTTGTTTTTTTTTTTGTTGAAGGAGGGAGTGGAAACATTGTAAAGCGAGTCATAGATTTCCGTTTGTGTGCGCCTCGGAAACAATGGCATTTTCATGTTGCACGTAAAACGAGAGAAAAACAAACCAAATCGGTGGCAGGAACAACCATTGATAACGACGAACGAGGGCGGAGCATGGATAGACACTCGCACAATATAATTTTAAGTGCAATTTCATTTCAACCATCGATATTCCACTGCCACTGGCGCCTTCTGCTAAGTGAACACCAAAAAAAGAAAATATTTTTATATGGAAAGCAAAGTGGCCCTAAAGATTGGGGACTTCGGTAGACTTCCGGTTAGAGATAAGCAGAGGAAAAGGTTCCTACCCGATCTGTATAAATAGTCGGGAAAACCTGAGGGTAAGACACAGTTCAACTGAATTCCTCAACATGGTAAGTAATCCACCAGAAAGAGCGAAGGTTTCTCTGGGTCTAATCATGGACTCTCTCCATAACTTCTCCTCAAGCATACCTTGCGTCTACTGGTTCTACTTGGTCTTCTGATGGCAGCGGCTCAGGCCGGAATCATTGACAGTGGAGTGGCGACGGAACAGGTGAAGGTTCCACCCGCCCTGCAGATTGGTGCTTCCCCGGAAGCAATCAAACCTGTGGAAGCAGTGGAAGTGGAGAAACTAAAGGAAATCCTGGGGATTCAGGAGAACCAAGTGATTCCGGAGGAGAAGCAAGTGCTTCAAGAGGAAACCCAAGTGATTCAGGCCAACCAGGAAACGCCAGAAGTTAAGTCTGAAATCAACCAGCGGGAGCAGCAGCAGAAGGAACAGGCTACAGGTCCAATTATCCCGAAGGAAGAGCAACAGAAGCCACAGCCAGAGCAGCCCAAGGAACAGGCAGAGCAGCCAAAGGGACAGATCAAAGGCCGCGAGATCGAGCTGGTCTTCGAGCAGCCCGGACAAACCCTGCTGCAGTACGACAATGTGGGCCAACTCCAGGGGTTGCCCAGTCTGGACAAGATCTTCAAGTATCCGGGAGCGCAACAATTTAATGTCACCGATGCTCAGTACTCGCATCTCTTCAACAAATTCCAGACGGGCAACAAGGTGGAGTTCGTGCCCACATGGAACACCACGGGCGCCAATGTGACACAGCACATACACAATCACACGCACTTCTATCAGAACCAGAAGAAGCCATTCCCCTTCCTGCCCAATCTCTTCGAGAAGCAGGAGACGACCTATGTGAACGGCACTTCTCCGTCGGGCAACGTGACCTACGTCTATGAGGACGGAAAACCATCGGGAGGAGGCGCATTTCCATTCCCTCCACTGCCCAATCCCTTCACCGATTTCCCCAAGGTTGTGGGACTCAGCTTGGTGCTGCTACCCAATCCATTCTACAAGGGACAGTCCGCCAGTGGAAACCCACACCCGAAAAGCTACCAGTACTTTGAGAAGTTCCGCGGCTTTGGCGATGAGTCATCATCCAACCAGCAGCAGAATCAACAACAGAAGACCGGCAATCGTTTCTACTTGATCTCCAATCCACTGCTGAACCAAGCCTCCGAGGAAGGTCGTGGCGAAAAGGGACAGAACACAAATGTCCTACTGCCCGTGAATCTGGCTGCCTTGCCGCTGCTGGTACCTGCACCAGAGGCGAGCCAGGAGACGGCACCCAAGGAGGAACCGACTGTGGGCACCATTAAGATCGAGGATCTACTGAAGACATCCAAGTTCTATGTGGGGCAACCGCTGCAGTTCCCTGGGGGCAATGGTATTGGCATAGGCAATGGACAAAAGCAGAGCCAGAATGCAGCCATTCAGCAGTTGATTCTCGCTCAACTAAACCAACAACAGAAACAGCAGCAGCAACTGAAGTTGCCCCTCAAGGACCAAAGTCGCTCACAGTCTGCTGTTGTGCCTGTGGAGGAGGGAGAGGAGAGCTCTGTTCTATTTGCAGTGGAAATACCCAAACCCATTTATCGCTTCTTCAAGGGAATCTTTGGGGGATTCTCTGGCTAACTCAAATATCTTTTAATGATCACCAGAATGGACCAATCAACGACCAAGGAACCCCTCTAACTAGATTTAATATTTGTACTAAAAACTGAAGCCTATGCTTGGTATCCTTATGATAACCAAATGGTTTTCTTCCATAGAATCCGTCACTATATGCTTGCAATAAAATAAACTCCACTTCAAACTCTACCACAATCAGCAAATAGTACTAGAAGTTTCCCTGCAAAGTATCTTAGCAGAATCTAAAATGAGAGAAAATCTTTAAACTAGTTTTCCCACCTGCACATTAATGCGGTTTCTCCCCAAACAGAGCAGAATCTCGTGCAAATATGATAAATGTGTGCATTTAGGAATCATCTTTCTGCCCCCCTCTGTGGGTGGGTAGGTGTCTCACAGATTAGGTTATAATCATAATCAAAATGTGAGAAAACCCATCCGCAGATGGAAAGGTGGAGCCATTCTGCATAATATATATGTAATACACAACTGCATTCATTCATGACTCCTGGAGCAGTCGCTTTCCCAGCCCTATTCCTATCCCTTTGGAGTTCGGTATTTTCATTTAATTTCATTGCCAAAGGAGAAGCATGCTCTGAATGCGGATGCTCGTATGTTCAGACAGACATATGTACATATGTATTCCTTTTGCCGTTTGCCATTTTAATGAATACATAATTAGTCTTTTTGCCAAGTTTCCACTCGTTCTCTTTATCCTTGTATTGCTGCTGTCACTGTGACTATCACTGCCCCTGCCCATCCCACTCCTACTCGTATTGCTGGGACTGCTACTTCCTCCTACTGCTGCTGCTGCTGCTGCTGTTGCACCTGTTCAAATCATTTCACATCACTCTGAATTTAATGCTCATGCAGCAGCACGTTCGGACCATGTATGTATGCTGCATGTGGCATGTGTTTCTGCTCTTCCTGCTCCACTTATTGCTTTACTTTATACTATCATGCAATATGGAGATAATGTTTGCTCTTCGGGAGAGAGCAGCCCAGCAGCAGCAGCAGCAGCAGCCAGCACATAATTGCCAGGATTACGCTGGCTCATAAAGTTTTCGCCGAGCATTTTGCGATTGTGTTTGCCTTTCACTTCAATATCCTGGGGGAAAATCATATAGAGGGAGAGATATATGGTTTATTTAATATTTAATTGATTCCATGGGCAGCTTTTTCCCATTAGACAGGATTTGCATACCCATTCCCAGGTGCTTCCCAGTGGTCCTTGTCCTGTGCAGCCTTTTGGAGCAGTAGCTAAAATGTCATCGCAGTTTTAAAATAAATTCTCCTAGGGTTAGTATCTGTGTTAGCGGGTTACACGTGCCACTGGACCACAGCCTCCACTTATCATCATAATTTCGATGTGGCTCCCACGCGGCGTATACTTAATAATCCTCTTTCCTTGCATAAATCGACTTTAAACTGTGCAAAAGGGAAGCTGAGGCAAGAAAAGGGAAATAAATTAATAACTCAAGTTCAAGTTGTAAGCCGGAAGGGAAGGCTAGGGCGGCAGGACTTGTTCCGAGGCGCCCAACTTTATTACTCAAAGGAATTGGACAGCGCCCCAAAAGTAGCAGTAGAAGCAGCAGCAGCGGATGCCCATAAATATATCATGAAATCAAAAACTTTGCCACAACTTATTCTGCTGCTGCTTCTGGTGCCTGCCACTTTGTTGGCTGTTCTTTTTGATTGGGGCGCCACTTCGAACCACACTTTCTGACCCCCCCACCCGTAAGATTGCGTGTAAACGTGTGGGGCAAAGTGCTGGCCACACGAACAGAAAACAGGAACAACATGCCACTCTCTCTCGCCCTTGCTCTATTCTGCTCAAAAGCGGAGGAGTAATGCGTTTCCGTTTCCGGCTCCTAGCTCCTTCCTGCTGCTCCATGTCGCTCCTTGGTTGCCACTCAATTCAATAAAACTTGTGTCCATTTCATTTAAAATTCTCTATTTTATCTCCTCTGTGAAGGCGGTGGCATGGCTCTAGCCTCTGCCGAAGGTTTTGTGCGGTTCCTGCCCCATGGTCTCGCCTCGCAAATTAATGGTGTTAAAATTAGGGCCGTAGACGGAGACCAGCCCAGCCCGCATCCTCCTTCTGGCTGCTGAGGGAAACTTTGCCATTTGGCACTCTCTTCTATTTATTTAGTTGTCACTTTGTTGAAAATTATGCCTGCCGCCTGCCTTGGTTGTTGCTTCCTCGCGCGACACGTGTAACTCGGTGGCAGGTTCTTCTGCCCAGCAAACTCACCTTAAAGTTTTCATTTTACCCCCAAGAACTTTCGACTAACTTTTTTACCCCCCCAAACTTCTAACCTTTTTTTGTTGTTCTTCTTGCTCACTTTCAGACTCGACTCAGGAGCGTCGATTTTTTGGTATTCTACGTTCGACCAAACGGAAGGAAGGTAAGTGAGCATTTCTGTTGGGTGTTCGGGGGTTTGGGCGGGGAAAAAGGTAAAGAGACACCCGGAAAACCAAAAGCCGTAAACTGAAAACCGAAAACCGAATATTTCCCTAATGAAACCAATTAGGCAAACAGCAAAATGGCCAAAATTGTGGCTGTGAAAAGTGGAATGAAAATGAAAAATCAAAGGCCAGACAGAGGGTAAACAAGCCAGAAGCCGCTTGGTGAGTAAAAGGGAGAGTGGAATTGGGAAAAATGTGAGTGGAAGTGTGGAGATTGGCTCAATTACGAAATGAACACACAACAGAAACTGAAATGGCATCAGCGGAAAAGTTGATGCGTTGATTGATGGATGATTTTGCATTTAAATGTTTTGTGGTACAACCCAGAAATGAGAGAGGGCGAATAATACATTTATTGTCTCATATTTCAATCCACGAATGGACTCTAAAGTTGTACTTTAATTTAATTAAATATCTCGGAGAACCCTTCTTTAGAAAGAGTATCAACATTTTTAGTGGATCATTCAAATGGGCCAATTCTGACGAGGTTGGTGGATGTAGGAGGAGCTGGGGACATGCAAAAAGCCATTTGCCAAAATCAATACATTTATTTAGACCGCAGGCCAGAAAGCAGGCAGACAGGAGGCCAAAAGCTAAAGCGAAAAGCAAATCAAATACGAGAACGAGGAACCGGCGACCCACAAATGTATTTAGCATTTGGTGGAGCATTTTCTAGTGCAGCCAAATATTGTAAAGGTAACTTGACCACCGGTACGGTACCGCCATCCTCCCACTCTCCACTCTCCTCCATCTGCATATCTGGTTCTGTAGCGACTGCCTATTTGGTTTTGGCCAAATCGTTTTACGCTTTGTTGCCGCCAGGCATGCGGGCCCCAGCCAGCCAGGATGCAAATATGTGCAAAGGCTTAACGTATCCAATAATGCCAGAGTCGGAGCTGGAGCAGAATGCCAGGAGATGGTTCCACAGACGAAGGTGATGGACAAAGCTCCATGGAGCTCAACCCATCATCATTGGACATTGGTGGACGTAAGCAGCTCAGTCGCTTAGTTCTTTAGCTGCTCATCTATTCGCTTGAATTTGATACCCTATATAATGCCATGTTTATGGGAATACACGTGTAATGGGTACCCTTCTCAGTTTAGCCATTGCTGTACGACAATCATAGCAATCGAATAATGTTTGATGCCAGCAGATGGAATATAATCGATCAGAAAAGCAAACAAAATAAATATTAGAGGGTATCCAGTGTTCGAAATAGCTTCCAATGGTTAAACTTTACCACGTGCCGGGTGGATTAGGTGCGGCTTAAAGCCCAACAACTTCATTTGATCTCTGAGGGACATACTGTTCTCAGCGCAATCTCCTCTCTCCATCTTCCCCGCTGCTGTGTGGCTGAATGTATAATGGAGTGCAACTTGCAACAATGTTGCTGCTGCTGCTGCTGTGGGTCTCTGTGGTGCTGGTGGTGCGATTTATATCGCTGGACTTAAATGTCATTACCAGCTAAATGCCTTTAAATAGCCCACATCCATATCCACTGACCAGTTGGCGCCAGTCAAAAGAGCCATGCGGCCCACCCGTCGAGCGGCCGCTGGATTGGGTTCGGATTCGTATTCGGATTCGGTACTCAATTGTGGCCCAGAGGCCCAGAGCCCAGAGCAATAAGCCCGGGCAGACGCATTTATCATCACGACCCGTGACGCGCTGTCGCCTTCAATTACACGCAAATTATTTTGCGCTCAGGGAGCGGCACCTGTGGTCGAGGCATGGCAGTTGGCCTGCAACTCTTGGACGGGGAGAGCGTCTGCCAGGAGTAGTGATCAATCTGCCTTATGTCAAACGGTGGCTAACAGATGGCAGTGATGCTCCAGTTCAAACGGCACACCAGGCAGCGATTAAAATTGATTGATCAATGGCTCCTAATACTTCTCCTAATACACGCTTGAAACGATCTATCAGTAGTGGACATCCTACTGGCAAGGTATTATCTTTATCTGTGATCCCAGTACCAACAGTTAGAGATACTTCGATAAAGAAATGGAGTTCTGGCCGAGGAGCCACAGGCTAAAGAAATTCCTTAACTATTCCGACAGACGGTACAGCCACTTTGTGGATTTCGTTTTTATTGAATTTCATCTGAATGTTACATAGATAAGGGGAGGGACACCTGTCTCAGTGTAGCAAAACTATTCTTTACCATTCGCTTTCTTATGTATGCCTATTGCATTCATTCATTCGTTTCGTTCATTCATTGGGGAATCGATTCTCTTAATCGTCTACTAAAATATGCGCCAGGGGCCGCGAGCCATGAGCCATGGCCGAATGCTCTCGAGTCGAGAGCTATGCAAATACTTGACGTTGGCGTCTAGTGCCCGACGGACTGCAGTGCTCCGTCCCCACTCTCCGCCACTGGCTCTTCCTTCTTCTCTAATTAAACAATACAAATGCGGATTCAAAGTAGGATTCGGCGGGCACTTGGGAGACAAAGACACAGATTCCGAACTTCATAGCTGAGGCGGCATGTTTTTGGGATTGGAATTTGGGTAACTTGGGGACTTGCTTTGTCGACAATTTTGTAATTACTTTGGAGTCGCATGCAAATGCTGAAGCTGAAGCTGAAGCTGCTGCTGCAGGAGGGAGGAGGGATGGATTATCGCCTGGAATTTTATAATTAATCGTCCATGTTTTCCCACACGTAACTTTATTCACAACCAGCCATCCCTAACATCTATGAACTCGTCCTGCACCTCGTCAAAGTCCGCCGCCA